CTTGTATACATAATTTTTTTTTTTTTTATGTGTTCTATTTTTAATAAACTATGAATTAGGTAAGATACCAAAAACAGTATATTAAGGTGTTTACCTTGCCAACACGAATATCTATTATATACATAATATAATCACGTAATTATTCAGATTCATTCCAGTTGTCTATTTTAATCCACGGCTTCATATTTTCAGCCGCTATCACGCCAGTATACTTTTTAAAGGATCTTTCACTTCCTTTAAGATCCGTTACCTCATATCTGTCATTTCCCACAAGTTTTTTTGACTTTGAATGGACCCAAGTGGTCTAAATGAAGTGTATGAAAAGGTTGAGCATATTTTGGCATTGGAAATAATTCGCCTTCCTTGGCACCCCCTTTGTTTTTGAAGTATATACAATTTAAACAATTTTTTATGTACTTTTTTATAATACGACGCATGTGGGGAAACCAGTAAAACTTTGATATTCTTTCTACAGTTTTGTCTACAGAAAAATGTCCAATGTCATCATGGTTGTATTTAATTATTTGCCAAATACATTTTTTTGGTACCGACCATCGACGACCCTTTGCTGTTCTTCTGTAAACTTTTGACCCAAGCAATTCGTATTTGTCAAAAACATCTCTATTTTGGTCGGCCTCTCCCGATTCTAAAATTGATTTTAATTGTTGAATTTTAGAGTCTTGTGTTTGCACTAACAGCAACCAATCTGCTTCAGTTATGGACATAATGATTTCAACTTCAGACTTTTCCCCCCGAAACTACAGGATTTCGACTTAATGCATCAACATGCAGCATACGTGTACCTGCTCTATGGACAATCTATCTATATATATATATAAATGAATCGCAAAATGTGTTGGTAAGCGCATAACTCAACAACGCCTCGACCAATTTGGCCAAATCTTTTTTTAAAATGTTCGTTGAAGTTCAAGGATGGTTTTTACGGCGAGAAAAATTAGAATTATTGCTGGAAAAACCCTAAAAATAGCCCTTTTCTTTTTCCCATACAAATGATTTGTAACTAAAACGTAGTCAATTTGAGCTTTATTGCTATGGTATAAAGTTCATATTAAATTACAAGCACTCACTGTTGTCTAAGCAATGTAGGTGTGTTCCTAACGTCAAAGATCATATCTATCAAAACAATGTGCGTGTGTGCGTTGGAGCACAGAATACATAGTTGGAGGAGTTTAATGTCGCGTTCCGAAACTCGCGTTTCTTTTGTATTAGTTTCGGCACGCAGAATTTTTTTAAATACGTAGGCAAAAAAAAACTGCCACATTACAAATCTTTTTGACAGGACGAAGTCTGTCGGGTCAGCTAGTTTCAAATAAAAATTCTTGTGTAGCTAATACCCATCGAGCTATGCGTGGGACAATATTTTTTTTTTTAGTGAGCGCATATCGTACAGCACTGCAGTCAGTTATGATTTTAAAATTTGAACCTAACAGATATAGGCGGAATTTTTGGAGCGAACAAATAATTGCCAACAGTTCTAATTCAAATGAATGGTATAATTTTTCATTTTCGGTAGTTTGCCTACTATAATAATGGACTGGTTTTTCTCCCTCATTTGTAATTTGCATAAGTATTCCTGCAATACCCTCTCGACTAGCATCAGTGTATAAAACACTATCTCTATTGGGATCAAAAATAGACAGGAAATTATCTGATGTTAATTTATTTTTTAACGATTGAAATGTCTCTTCTTGTTTGTCTTCCCAAGCCCAGGTAGTATCCTTCTTTAACAGTTTTGTCAAAGGCACCAAAATCATTGCGCAATTTTTAATAAATTTCCGAAAATAGCTTATTAGACCAATGAACTGTCGAAGTTGGTGTACTGTTTTGGGTCTTGGAAACTGCCTAACTGATTCTAATTTCGCTTCATTTGGCATAATTTTCCCAGACTTTACTCGATAACCTAAGAACTCTATTTCACTTTTGAAGAAATGACACTTTTTTTAGATTCAGAGTCAAACCATTCATCCTAAAAATTTGCAATATCTGATCTAATAACTTCAAATTTTCTTCCACCGTATTTGTTACAAGATAAATATCATCTAAATAACTATTACATTGTTAAACCTTAAATTACCTAAAACTTTATTCATCATATATTGAAAACAAGATGGTGCATTAACTAAACCAAAGAGGAGTCTGAGAAACTCATAATGGCCATCTTCCGTGATGAATGCAGTTTTGGGTATTGAATTCTCGTTCATTAATATTATAACCACTTTTGAAATCAAGACTTGAAAAACATTTGTGACCAGAAAGTCTATTAATAAGGTCATCAATACGTGGCATAGGGTACTTATCCTTAATAGTTATTTTGTTTAATAACCGATAGTCTATACAAAGTCTTTTTTCTCCATTTTTTTTTTTTTGTTACAAGAAGTGCGGGGCTCGCATAAGACGATCTACTTTCGCGTATGATGTTATTTTCTAAAAGTTCATTTACTATATCACGTATTATTTTTCTATCGTTATTAGAAGTCCTAAAAGGTCTGCACTGAATCGGTTGTATATTGTTAACGTTAATTTCCATTTCGTGATGATTAACTTTCCCTAACTCTTTAGTATTGAGTGCTACACAATCTCTATATATACTGAAAATACATTTTAACTCGTTATGATGAGAGTCGGTGTCTAAATCTAGTTCATTGATACTTTTACAGGATTCGCTGTACCCTATTGCATAATGAAACCTAAAGGTATTTCCTACACGTATGTACATCAAATCTGATCGCTCAGTTACATTCCTACCTATCAAAATATCATAATCCATCAAATCATCAAGCACATAAATGTCAATTTGCGTTAAAGCTATAGAGTCCATTTCTAAATCAACGGTTATCTTATGACTCACAAATTTTGAGGATTGTTTAGAAAATCCTTGCAATAAAATCGGAGAGGATAAAGGACTAATTTCAAAGCAATTATTCTTTGCGAATGACTCTGACACTAACGAACAACTACTTCCAGTATCTATAAAAGCTTCACACTTCACGTGATTTAGTATTATATTTTTAACGAATTTGTTACGAGGGTTGGGGGTAGAAATAAATTTAGTTTCGTGCGTTTCGGTTTTCGTCAGTTTTTTGTGAAAGCATACAGCTTCTAAATGTCCCCTTTTCCCACAGAAGTCGCATTTATTTTTATCACATTGATTTCGTTTATGATTCCCACCACAAATGAAGCATTTTAACGATTTACGTTGTATGTTCTGCATGGTCGCTAGTGAACCAGATGGAACAGTTTGATCTATTATGGTTATACTACCTCCATTTGTGGAGGAAGTAGTTGGTTGTGCGACGGTTTGTCGTGGTTGGTTTTCACAAGGAACATTTGAAGATTTAGGAAATTTGGATTTGTATATTCGACCATGCAAAAAACTTGCTAGATTATCACATGTTGTAAACTGATTAGCGTCTATTGATGCTAATAAATTTGCCTCTCCTATGTTCCCTAAAATAATAGATATAATATCTTGTTGTGTAAAGTTTAGTGACAAACGATCGATTTTACATTTTTGATCAAAGTAAAAATCGTATAAAGATTGATTTTCTATGGGTTTTTTATCGAGTATTTCTTTTAGAAGATCAAAAATATTTCTCCTACTTTGAAAACAAGCCGATAGCTTTATTCGCCAATCTTTCCATTTCCAAGATGGCCACTGATATTCAGTATGTAATAAGGAGTCGTACCATGTTTTAGCGGAACCTTTCAATTTGTTCAAAGCTTGATAGCGAATCACTTCATCCGACCAGGCAAACGTTTGAGAGTAAGATTCGATAATATTAAGCCATGCATTTACGTCGTCTATTAACGGGTCAAATTCTGGTATGATATTGCACAATATTAAGCTGTTGTTTGTACTTACAGTCGCGGTGTCAGTTTTGTGTGCTACCTTTTTCCTTTGTCTCGGTGAGGGCGACGGTGTTCGAGCGCTACTCGAGCTACTCGACGTCGAACTCGAGCGTCTTTCGCGACGTTTAGAGCGCTTCCTGCGAGAGCCCATTGGCGCCTAATATCCCACTTCTGATGTTAACTAAAACCTCACTTTCAATCATCAAACTATTTATTCACTAATTTGCATACATCACACATAGCTATCAATAATCACAACACTTTATTTTATAATTTACACTAGTTGTCACAGCGCGAGCGGAACTAAGACTGCCATGCTTAGGTCGGTTGCTTGCTTATATAGTCGCCATCTTGCACGTGAACGTCATTGTGCGCCGCAAGATGGCGTCACCGGCGTCAACTTCCGGTCGATTAATGTTGACCGACTATAAATATTTATAAATATATACTATCAATATTCCTTGTAGAAAACCTTTCTCGCTGAAAAAAAAAAGATATAATTAACCTTCTGCCGAACTATCCAATTAGTCAAATTATTTGCTGTTTATAAAATAAAACCTTGTCATTGTTGAATATTTTATACATTTTTACAGTAAAAAATATTGTGATAAACGTATTGTACATAATTCATACGACACTGTTCATACTGGTTTCAATCATCACATGGATACTATATTTATCTACTTACTTACAAACTTGTTTTAAAAATGACAGTCATGTTTCCGCCTATTTATGCACTTACGCAGTATACGACAGACCATTATAAATATCGTTGTGTTAAAAGTCGCTATTGCACATCTAAATATAATTTCTAACTTTTTATAAATTTTAATGTATTTGTGTAAACAATCTCGTGTATCGTTGAGAGTTTCAAACAGCTTAATTCTTTATTTGTTTATTGATAAGTTAGATATATAAAGAAACGTTATTGTGTGCGTAAACTATATACAGTTATTATAAACAAGTTACAAATACAGTTGGATTATTTTGTGACAGTACCGAATACGCGGAATCTTATAAGAAAAAATATTGAAATATTTCAAAAACTATAATAAATAAAGGATAATAAATAATTTGGTGCACGATTAGGGTTTTTTTGTGTACTACATACGCAACATTACGAAGATGTTGCTGCACATTCAGTGATTTTTGATGCATATTAAAATATTGTATTCTAAATACAACCCGTAAAAATAGTTCTTATTCTTAGTGACCTAATATAACATTTTCCTAGTAAAACAATTTTTAAAGTGTATAGTTTTAATTATTTATTTTTTTCTTATAAATAAATAAAGAGATTACCATTCACTAAAAATGGTTTCTGAAAAACATTTGGGACATTATGTTTATGAGTGTTTCAAAAAGCGACCAAAAGACCTATGTCAGGTAATTATTAAATAATCACATTGGTAATAATTAAATAAAAGTTAATATATAACAAATAAAAAATAAATTACCGTTAAATTTTGGCCTTTAAAACTTTTCATATATTAACCCTATAATGCCTAACTGTATGTATTCTTTTACCTAGGTACTTTCTCATATATTTATTATGTGCTTAATGCTTTACAAATAATAGGTGTGGACCAGAAAATTATCCCGAAAAAATACTTATTTGATTACAGGTAGACGCCGCTACAGGTCTGTCGGAAACAAATGGTTCAGTGTTAGCGCGATCCGTTCGATTAGGAAGAAGCTTGATAAAATATGGATTGGTGCCTGAGAAAGATATCGTAGCTTTGAGCGGGAGAGGCCATCTGGACCTCCTTATTCCTTACTACGCTGCTTTATTCAACGGGCTGCCATTGCTCGGAGTCGATGTTTTGTACAAACTTGGTGAGACCGTTATCTATTTTTTCCTTATACCAATGGTATGTGGTAATACCAGTTGCTGATCCAGGACTAAGTTTAGGGATGGCAATTTTCAATTCATTAATTTTCCAGAAATGATATAATTAAATAAATATGAACTTTATCCGTGAGACTTAATTTGAGGAGTTGACCGTAGATCAGGGGGAATCTGCACGACTCTTGGATTCGCTGTGACTAAAAATGTTTTGGAGCGTTTATCGAACTCTTACATGTTATGTAATGTTTACATGTTAATATACATGTTAATAATACCAATAATACTTACAAACACTTTCTTATAAATCCTCCAGCTAATTGCGGATTAATCAGAGAGAACCAAGAACCTTCTTTAAATTCATATAATACTTCAATAATTACTTATTTATTTATTAAATTGGAATCAAATATTTATTTGACACGGACAATTTGCGATCCAAAATTAATATTTAAAAGTACTTTAACAGTAACATTTTTATTCGCAAATATTCATATTCAATATACTTAAATTCTATTGAGTCAGATGGATGTAATTTACACGTCAGATCAAGAAGATCATTTATTTTTATTAGATAACCTTTAAATCATCGAACACAAAAACATTAAATTGACCGAAAATAAACTTAAATTTTCTAAAAGCTCCATCTCTTGGTGATTTTCCAACTAAAACATAAGGACATAAAAACTGAATATTATACAAATTCTAAAACTCGGTCGCGGTATAATAAATTCATCATCAGCCGGAAGACGTCCACTGCTGAGCATAGGCCTCCCCCTTTGAACTCCACGACGGACGACATTGCGCCACCTGCATCCAGCGGCCGCCCGCGACTCGAATGATGTCGTATAATAAATACATAATGAGAATTAGTTAGTGACACACAATAAAATAGGTATTTTCCTATATTTTTTTGGCTCTGGGGCCACCAATGTATGGACGTTGAGCAATGTCCTTTGTTATTTTATTATCTAGCGGGATCTATTCCCTATTAGAACTCTATGAAAATGTCTTGTTATTCAAGCATTATAGGCTCAATTGAGATCTATTCCGTGTTTCGGACGGCACGTAAAGCCGTTGGTCCCAAGTTCAGACTGTCATTATAACCCACCTACCGGCACTGAGACCGCGTGGTGGCCCATTCTCACTTAAATTACTTCAATTCCGCCGTTTGCATACCCGATTCTTGCTTCTATACATTGGAATCAGACTGTGTATTCTAGTAATATTTTATTTTTAGATGAAATTAAGCATATTCTTAAATTGACTGCTCCAAAAATTGCATTCTGTGAGCCAGAAGCCTATGACAAATATATCCAGGCGTCTCTAGAGATTGGATTGGATATCAAGATTGTCACATTCGGTGACGGACCCAACTGTATGAATGCATTCATTGAACAATATCCGTACTCTGAGCCAGATGAAGATTTTCAGTAAGTATTATTCATAAAAGTTAAGAAATTGCTATCGTCAATTGATAAGGAAAGTAGCACGGTTGCGTAGAGGATAAGCGCTGCGGCCCGCGATCGTTGTTGTTAAGCAATCCGCATTGGGCCAGCGTGGAGGGTAATGGCCCATCCTCCTTAACCATCCATAAGGAAGGTCTGAGCCCCTGCAGTGGGGACGTAAAAGGGCTGATGATGATGATGATGATGATGATAAGGATAAGGAAGTATTAAGAGACATATTCACATCTGAAATAAACAAGATGATTGTACGCCGCACAACATATAAATTTTAGGCTGAGACCCCACTGCATTCAAGCTTGACCGATTTAGGTATACTTATAATGCAAAAAATATAAAACTGCATACATTGCGGCTCGCAGTCGGCTCATGCGTGCCCTTATAAATAGGTTATATGTTACCTACCGCAAAGTTTCAGACTTGTGTTTTAATCGTAGAGCAGTATGAGTCTTAGGTAAAGTGGTATACCTATTATTATGTCTTATACAACAGATGTATTTTTATCGCGACATAATACGACATGGAAATGTATCTTAACCATCAATGTATGAAAGTGATTTGTCGCGCAACAACACATCGGAAAAATATTTTTCTAAAACTGAGAGACATTAAATAATGTTCGGGTTATACCGAAATGATTAATTAAATGATAATATTTGATTAAATAGAAACTGTATATTTGAAACAACTGTTTACACTTACTAACGTATGAATGTATGTGTACGCGTAGCGCTCTTGGTGGCTGATTACGAACTGAATTTATGATATTTAAGTAATTATAATTACAACTGAACCAATTTTGGTCAAGCGGTGTAAATGCTGACAAGACAATGTACGCGCTTGCTCGTACAGAGCGCTAAGTGTAAGTTTTTTTGACGTTTACGTTCACTGTAGTAAGAAATACGGAACAGCGCCCCTAGTGGTAACTACTAAGAACTACAAATCTCCATACAAATTCTTAACGCGCTCACTAGTGAACGCGTTAGCGTAAAACTTATACTTACCAATCAGGTGGAGAGTGTGAGTATTAGCGCGAGAAAAGTGACGTTTGGATCTAGACGAAAAGTTTCTCTAGTTCGTCATTTAACGCGTACAGCAGAGCGATTCCGTGAATATCCGAACCCAATTGTTCGAATTCAATTATGTGTCCTAATTCACATCATTTAGTGCAGAAATTCTATTGATTCCATTTTTTGTATAAAAAATACAAAACAAAATTGTGATTATACGTGTTTCAAATATTCTATTCCTATGTCATTTTGAAACTCACTTTACGTATTAAACGTTATTACGTACTAATTCAAAGTCGGGTGGATGCTGCTTTTATTGTATTCGAACACCTGAGTGAATTCCAAATCGGATTTTTACGGAAACACGGCACGGACCTGGTGCTAAAGTTTATCTGTCTCAAGAGTTCCATTTACCAAAAATTTGATTTTATAGTCAAAACTCTTTGAAGCGTAATAGATCCACAGTTGAGTAACCGTATTATATAATACGATTATGATATGACTGGCTGTGACAGAGATAGATATTCAAAAGTCGTTATTTTGAAATAAAATCTCATATATGGATAATATTAAATGAAATCTTTCAGTGACTTCACAAAAATTCAACTGTGGCTTTTGGTCCTTCCATTTGAAAAGGTTGCCAACTCCTAGAAATCCTTTATGCAGGAACATATCATTGATTAATTTATTCTTATGTTTTACCAGGCCGGTTTCAGTTGATATAGACAGATCATTAATCTGGTTGTCGTCTACCAGCGGATCGACCAGTACATTCAAGGTAGCCGCCTTCACGCATCGACCATGGCTAAATGCCGTATTTGAAATAATCGATATGAATGTAGTCTATGAAAATATATTTGATAATTCTACGTGAGTATGTGAACTGACACCTAAATCAGTTTATATCTATGTTTATTGCTAATAACGCTTATCAACTTATTTATTATGACTTCCTTTCCTATAATATTAGGTTCTGTACATATGAAATTGGTGTTTGGTATGGAAGGAACAAAAAGTGGAATATTTTTTAATATATATGTATTTATTTAATCAAAGTATAAACTATTGTTATCTATGCACTTTTGCCATCTCATAGGTAGTTCATTGATTCTCTTACTAAAAAAACCATTCGGACGGGAATCAATAAAATCTTTGAAGGCGATTTGTACTGCCCCATCGGAGTTGAATTTTTCCCTTGCAAAAAAATGGTAATCTGTTGGTGCAAGGTCCGGAGAGTACGGTGGATATCTTAGACATTCCAATTGAAGCTCTTATAATTTGGTAGCCGTCTGTTGTGCAGTGTGTGGTCTAGCGTTGTCGTGAAGTAGTAATGGTGTAGAGCGATTGACCAGCAGCAATTGCTGACAATGGACGTTTGCCGTAATCGTCTGGCCAGATTTGAGAAATGAACGACACCGGCACTAGTCCACCAAACTTAGAAGTACCTTTTTTGGGGTCAATTTTCGCTTGAGGCAGGATTTGACTGGCATGCCAGGGTCCAACCATTGCGATGAGCGCTTCCGATTATCATAGAGAATCCACTTTTCATCACAGGTAATGATTCTATTTAAAAACCCTTTATTATTGTGCCGGTTAAGTAATGTAACGAAGCAGTCGAAGGGCGTTTGCCGGTTTAATTCACTCAATTGGAGAGGGTTTCACCTTTCAAGCTTTTTAATCTGTCCAAGTTGCTTAAAGTGGATTAAAACTGTTTTATCACTAACAGCGCAGCCTGCAGCTAACTCGGACGTGGTTTGTGATGGATCCGCTTCCACAAAAGTCTTCAATTCTTCGTTATTATCTTGGGACTCCGGCCGTCCACGGGGCTTGTTCTGCAGGTCGTAATTTCTCGAATGAAAACGTTGGAACCAAAAACGCACTGTGCAGTGTTACCAACTCCCAACAAAATAAAACCCTAAAACCAAACTCAAATAACCCTAAATAGCCCTGAATGGTGTAATCAAAAGCCCCAAAAAAAGCCCTGTCCTACTTGTATTACCCACAGATTTAATGATATAGTTTAAAAAAAAATCTGTTTTATTAAGGTGATTAAAATAGACCTCAGTTTTATTTTATAATAATTTTTTTGGTATCAATTACTTGAATCGCATTCAATTAATTTTGTTAATCTAAAAAAGGTGACTATTTGTCTTTTTTTAGATGAATAAAAACGCACTAATGCACGAAACTCTCCTGTCTTTTCTACTAGTTCACTAAGAAGAGAGGGGCCAAGCACATTTTGTATAATCATGGAACATTTTGTGCGTAATAGACTTAAATACTTTAAAGCATTCGATGACGAATCTATTTGATAAACGAAGCCAGAAAGCATACTGTTTAATGACTAAAACCAATCCAAAAAAGTAATAAACCATGACACGAAAATAAAACTACCGAAAATGCAAATAGATTAAAAAATGTCATATTGAAGCCATAGCGATATACTACATAGGTAGCCTGCAGACATACACACACGTCCAGCTAAACATTTGCTTCTATATAATGAACAATTGGTACCTGTTTTGTCAAATAATTTAACGTTTCATCCATTGTCGAATTCGAAGAGAAAATAAAGTTCTTTTGTATGTCGTTAACAATGTTGGTTAATCTATTTTAAACCAAATAAAAAGATTTAATGGGTAACTTAGACATTACCTGATTTTTTTATTATTAATTTATTTAATTTTTTTAGCACTAAAATTAGCCCTAAATTTTCTTGAGCCCTAAAAAAAGCCCAATCAGTTTATTTCCGCCCTAAATTTGGGGCTAAAACCCCTAAGTTGGTAAGCCTGGCACTGTGTTTTCTTTTACGACATAACCGCCATACACATCATTAACCCTACGAGCCCTTTTCGCAGCACTGGTACCACGGTGGAACTCGATATTTTAAGTTTTCCATTTTTTATACTGGGTGACGTAAATAGGACAAACAAGAAAAAAAAAACAAATGAATGCCGCCTAACGAAACACAAATACATGTATAAATGGCTGTATAAATTTGAATTTGGAATTCCCAACCAAGAAGGAGAAATTTGTGATTAAAGTGGCCAGTACGACAAAACGCCAATATCATATGCAAGGAACTAATATTATTAAATTCCTGGGCCTATCATAATTTTCATTATGAAATTTTGTCTCTAGGTACAATTACATGAATCATTGTAATTGTCTTTAAAACGAACAATATGTCTTTTGGTAATGAATGATTCCCTTTGTTACATCCAAATATGTAGCAATGATCTAGTATTAGAGGAAATTACATTCTTTCTAATTGTTATAAATTCAAAAAATAAAAAAGACTCTTTTACTATAATTTAAATAAACTTTTTGCTAATTGCCACATGTACTAGTGGTGCAATCTGGAGACAAAAAAATACAGTAATATTAACGTTCTATTGAAGTGACAAATTAATAAGTCTTTTTACCGTTTTTCTGTCACAAAAAATCAGACATTTACCCCTAAATATAACCAATTTCTTTTTTACTATTTTTTGCTTGATTGTCTTGATTTATTTCTTAGTTTAAAATGAAAGTTGCGCTACAATTTTTATTATGTATTGCATATCATAACATTTTTGATCATTACCATCTTTAATTCATTTTGTTTTTCATGTAAAAATCAATTAATTTACTTGACATTAGCAGAATTTTGCAAAATGCGCTGATAAGCCATTAATAAAAGAAGACGAAGAGTGATATAAAATAAATATCTTTTTATTTGGTTATGGGGTATATTCGCAATTAATCGAATATATTAATATTTTTTACAGCGCATCCAAGCCCAGTTTAAATTTGTCGCCAATTAATTGGATTAGTGGTATTTTGAATCCAATTATCGCGCCACTGTCAAACCAATATAATGTTCAAACATCTGCACCTGTCACTTCTGAACACGCCATAGAAATCATAAATAAATACAAGGTTATATTTATATTTTTAACAATCTCATCTAAACTTAAGAACAAAATTATGTTGTACAAACTAGACTAAATTTTCGTTTAGTCTTGTCAAATTGCTTTTTAATTATATGATATGTATATGATGTTGTCTTATATTTATTTATTTAATATTATTATTGAATGCGCTAACTATTGATTCAATCAGCTTACATAACTAATTAAATGTGAATTTTATTTGACAGCCTGTTAAAGCCATGTTGGGACCTTCAATTTTATCCTATATATTAAAGCAAAGTAACAAATGTGATTTCACATGCTTCGATCTACTCACACTTGGAGGAGCGAAAGTTAATCCAGAACTGTTAAATGAAATTAGGGTGAGTTTTATAAAAATTAGCTTGTCTATATTGTTAACTAAAATTCACCAGCGGCTGCCAATATTAAAATGCAAATTATTACTATTATTACATAAACATTGCAATTATTACATAAACATTACTAGAATTGGCCTGCAGCGCGCTCCCGCTCGCTTGATTAAAAAAATATCTGAAAAAAAAAACAAATACAGTTAGTTATAAAAAATCCTTTTTTTGTATATTTCAGATTATATCAAAACCTATTTTTGTGTTAAGATGAAATATGTAAGTCTTAAAATCGATCTCAAAAACCTATTTAGAGTCATCTTGGCGATTTTCTTTTCCATCGAGTATGTTTCTGTTTTTAGCAAGCAATCGATCATGTTTAATTTTCACAAAATGCTATTTAAGAAGCATTAACTATTTTTTTTTTCAGAAAAGGATTCGGAAAGGGGCAATGTGTTTTGAAATGTACGGGCAAACGGAAACTATTGGTCCTTTATTTTATCCTAATCCTAATACGCCTATTGGAAGCTGTGGTAGCCCAAACACTAAAGTTTACAAGATCAAGGTCAGATATTCATAGATATACATTACAATTTACATAATTAGATATATTTCCATGATCCAAACTAATGATTAACTTGCTAAATATGTTATATACTTATTATACGTATACTTATATAAACTTTTATAATACGGATTAATCTTACTAGACTAGAAAAGATTATAGATTGAATAAACACCTTATTGCGCACTAAAAATAATTGTTTACAGTCTCTTTTACAATGGGCAAAAACTTTACTGAGTGGTGCGAGACTAAATTTCGTTCATAAGAATTTAGCTATGTATCTCTCTGTGTTGTGTATGTCATTCATCACCCGCGATAATATTATGTGATCTACATTATCCATATCTATTTTGCCCTCCCATGCTTTACTTGCTTTTCAGAATGCATAATAGCAACGTAATATTAATATATAATTTTATGACTTTTCTGCACTTTGTGACTTAAAGAAATGCGCGCTGATTCGGATATGCTGTTTAACTTCTATCTTATTTCACCAGTCAATCAATACTAATCAAGACAGAAGACATTAATTAATTTATTTACCCAATTTCAGTTGATCGATCCAGATACTAGTAAGGAGGTGAAAGAACCAAATGTCAAAGGAGAATTATGGACTTTGGGCAGAAGATTTGAGGTGAGATTAGAACTTTATTTAATTTCAAGTATTATGCGCATGTAATTTATATACATTTATATGTTTGCAGTGTTATTACAATGACCCCGAAAAGACGGCTGAGTCATTTTCACCTGATGGTTGGTACAAAACTGGTGATATCTTCTATAGAGACGAACACGACAACTATTACTTCGTTGAAAGAAGCAAGAGGATTATTAAATATCAAAGTTACCATGTATGTAAACTTTTATATTTAAATAATTATCATAACACCATAATTTATATACATATATTTATATACCTATATACATATATTTTCTTATTACACATAATATATTTATAATTATGAGGTCAAGATTGATTAGTATTTTTGTAAAATAACAAAATATGTATGTTGGCGGGAACGGGAACTATCCTTTTTGATAAGTTTATCATATTTTGAATGCTTTGTCTACACCATACGTCACTTATCTGGGGTTAAGCGTGAGATATCGTATGGGTGCACCTGAGAAAAGTAATATTTGGGTGTAGACAAAGCGTTCTCGAGTTTGTTATGCCATGCTATATTTTTAATATTTCTCCTTCTATTTCTTATAGATAGCACCCGGGGAACTCGAGAACCTGATTCAATCACACCCTGGGGTCTTAGACGTGTCCGTAACTGGAATACCTCACGCTGACGACGGAGAGCATGCGGTAGCATGTGTGGTACGAAAACCAGGTTCCGACGTCACCGCTCAAGAAATTAAAGATTTAGTTCTTAGTAAGTTATTTTTAATCTGTAAGTGACAAATGAATTCTTGTACATGCAGCCCCGTCGCTTAAGTCTCTCGCATAAGAATTTGTATGGAGATTTGTTGTTCTTTATAGTTGCCGCTAAGGGAATGAAATTTTTGACAAAAAAAATGGTAAACTATTCTCTTGACCCACGCTAATTGCGTTTCATATAACTCCACAGCTAGGGGTTAGGTCTTTTTTATGGATGTAATCGTATAGAGTGATTGAGTCAATACCCTGGCCCAGTGCGGATTGGTGGATATTAACGATTGATGATCCAATTTGCGTTTATTTTACGAAAATTATTGATTAGTCAAATATAGAGTATGTACGTGAAAACACATAACAGTAAGTTGATTACGATCTTGCTTATCTAATACGTGATTATCGATATCTTTTCAATGTTATAAAAACGGATTTTAATGAATCACATTATCTTTCCTTTTATTGGTCTGTCTATGATATTATCAAGATGCTTACATTCTTAATTGTCTGGATAATGTTCAGTTTTAATCAATGCTGAATCATTAAATATATATATAATCGTTTATTCTGAACCTGACTCAAAATCCTGACTGGGTAGCTGGTCGTGTTAGGAACATAAAAATATATACTTATAATAATAAAATAATCTTTATTGCACACATACAGACAGGAAAACAGAACGAAATCACACGGTAAAACAATAAAGAGTACACAAAAGACGGCCTTATCGCTAAACAGCGATAATAATGGTTCTCAAAGTAACCATTATTTTTTATTTCAATATACTATAGTTTAAAACATTAACGTGCTATTGAATTTTTTTTATTGTTTTCAGGTAAATTATCGGAGAAGAAACAATTACGCGGTGGCGTCATATTTTTGGATGCTCTGCCTATGACCTCAAACGGAAAAGTTATGTTAGCCAAACTGAAAGAAATCGCATTAAATTCAATTAAAGATTAATATTTTCGCAAATTAGGTCAATTTGTCATATTATACGATAAAGAAATTGAAAATTTGTTAAAAATTCACCAGTCCCAGATGGAATTCGTACACTTTAATACTAGCAATATTGAATAAGGATGACATCTAGAATAAAAACAAACAATTTCCAAGTTACACAATAAAAAACGCGTTACTTAGTAATAAGTTGCTTTCATTTAACCCGTAAATGAACAAAGAAAAACTGTTTTTCGTTAGTGTGGCCTTCCATGGCACACCCACCTTAGTTGAGAACTTCTATATTTCCTTTATCGAACTATTAATGGTACGTTGTGCTGTATCTATACTAAATGGCGACAAATTTGTAAAAAAGCTTATATTTTCCACACATAACACACCTATATTAAAATAGGATTATTATTTTTGTAGACCAACCTTCACTTCATAATCTGAAGAAGGTATCAATAAAGCGCCCTGAGGACCGAATGGATACGAACACAGAATAGTAATAGTCTCAAGACCTTTTTGACTGTATTAATTGCAAAAAAAGACAACAAACGAATAACATATATGCTACAACAATATCTTAAAAAAACATCAAAATGAATGCAATTTAGATACCAGATAAATTGTTATTCCTATATTATACTAAAAAACCCATTGTGAAGAGTAAATAAATGATTTATTATTATTATATTATATGCACGATTTTCACTCTGCAACTATTCGACATTTGCGACCTTTTTGTAAGATAACATGAACGATATCGTTTCTTTGAACAGTCTAAGCTAAGTGTTAAATGTTTGTACGCTATTGAGAAACGCCAAACAAAAGAGTCGAATGCTAACTGCAATCTTTCAACGGGTTTAACTAAGTTTTTATTATGTTTCTTGATCATTCAAATCATCATTCGTCCCAAAAGATTGTTTTAAAATTACATCTATAATTCCATAATTCGCTATCCCCATCGCTTTTAATTTTAAGGAGATTGCGATATATTTCATAAGTAGACACTTAGCCTAAAGCTTGAATATTTTATATAAAAAACACCCTCAAACTTGACGTGGAGCGTAGCGCTATAAAAGCTTAAGCTTCAATGACATAAAGCTGATTTGCACCATAAAAGCAATTGAAGTTAAGGTTTGTGTCAAACAATAACTTTCAAGCTAACTCTAACATTGACCATGGAATACGTTGCACCATCCTTTTTCTTTGCATGGTAAAACAATAACTTTAACCAGCAAAGCTTGGGCGGTTATAGTTAACATGTAAAGCTATGACCTCCTCTGCCAAATGCCAAATGATGCAACTCATTATTTGCTTAACCGGTACTTTAAGATGTGAGACGATTGCTATTAAATAATACCCCGAGATCTTTTACTTGTGTTACTCTTTTCATTGGTACCATATCAATTTTATATTGAAATTGTAAAGGTTTACGAGCTTTTGTAAATGAAATTGTCTGACACTTAGAAATGTTAAATTGAAGTTTATTGTTTTTACACCAATCTACTACTTTATCTATATCGCTTTGAAGTTTCAAGCAGTCCCTTTTCTGTTTTACCGAAATATATAATTTTAGGTCATCTGCAAATAATAAACAATTTGAATTCGTAACGACTGTAACAGTTTACTTAATAAACTGTCCTTGTTTTGAATGTTTATCTGATGTCTTAATTTCCTGTTTAATACAAATAAATTTAAAGAAAAATATAATTAAAAATAATTGTAGGTACAATGTTAACAATTGTACTATGGAGGTAGGCAGACATAGGAGCGCAGCACGGCTCATGGCACCAGCCATAGTATTTAAATGACTTCTCGCGAATCCAATGGATTCATTGTGATTTGATTTTTCCAAATTGTGTATTAGTGTTAAATAACCCCGAAATCGGGGTTCTAGTTCTACTTCTACTTCTACTCCTACTTCTTTATCTACCCCAGTCCTCCTGAGCTTCGTGGACCTTCGGTGCTGCTGACCGGAGCTGACGACGGGTCTACACCCTTCTCAGCCTCTGCCCGGCCAGTGACGCGGACTCCGCGAACTCATCACTAAATCCCCTAGCAAAACTTAAAACTAAGTCCTCCCCTCGTAATTATAGAAACAAGAACCATAACGGGCGAATATCTTACCTACCCCCTGAGAACAAAAATAAAGATTGTTAAACTTTATTTCTAGTTATATTCCTTATACCTGAAGCCTGGGGGGTGCTTCTCATCCCCCATCTACAACCTAAACGCTTCACGACATTGGGCAAATCATTAATCATAATAATAAATTCAAGTGGTCCGAGGTTACTCCCTTACTCCTGATCTAACAAAATATGGCTGTGATTGATGACCGGCAAATTCAACATATTGTTGTCGATCCTCCATGTAGCTAGCTAAGAATTTCAATAAATGGGGAGAGCAACCAACGCTAGCCAACTTCTTAAGCAAGACATCATTACCCACCAGATCAAAGGCCTTACGAAAGTCAAAATATGCGGCATCTACCTGTCCTCGACTATCATCAACTACCGATAAAATATCGGTCATATAATATAATAAGTTACTTGTGGTACTCCGACCCGGACGGAACCCATGCTGTGCCTCTGACAGTTGTGCACTCACTTGTTCAAATATATTTCTTTGTAATATTGCTTCGAAAGCTTTTGTTGGTGCTGACAGCTACTGGCCTATACTCATCTATTAATAACCTAGATTTGCTTTTAGGAATAGCAACCACCCGAGTAACTTTCCACATATCTGGAAAAATACCTACCTCCAAGCATTTGTTATAAATAAATAACAAAGGCTGGGCAAGTACTCCACGACAGTCTTTCAGTATATAAGCCGGAATACCATCAGGACCCGCGGATTTTTTTGGCTTGAGTTTTGCCAATGATCTTTCTACCCCGGATAGTTGTAATTTTCCAATATGTACTCTCGCCGATCCATTAGTACTGCCAGCGTCTATTATTGCCCTATTTATATCTAGTTGAGCCCGTTCCCTACTGTACACCGAATAAAAATAATTTGCAAATTCCATAACACATTCTTTCTCTGATAAAACCATCCCATCCTTAATAATATTTTGAGAACTACGGGTACCCTTATGCAATCGGATATAATTCCAAAAAGACGTGGGGTCATCCACTAAATGTTTCTGTACATTAATGTTATATATGTTACGCGTCTACAACTAGTACTAATGATTCATCCGAGGCGCTCACTCTAACATCTCCGCCCAATGTAGTCAGTACCAAGTCTAATTGACAGTCTTTACAATTAGTTATGTTATTTCTCGGAGTAAATCCACAATATGACTCAAAAAACTAAAAGTAATTTCGAATTACCTGCGGACACGAGTTCAAATTAAAATCGCCTATAACTATAATTTCATTATATAAAACAGATATATTTTCCATTATTTTAAATGTTATTTAAAATAATGGAAAATATATCTGTTGTTAATGTTATATATGTTACGCGTCTACAACTAGTACTAATGATTCATCCGAGGCGCTCACTCTAACATCTCCGCCCAATGTAGTCAGTACCAAGTCTAATTGACAGTCTTTACAATTAGTTATGTTATTTCTCGGAGTAAATCCACAATATGATTCAAAAAACTAAAAGTAATTTCGAATTACCTGCGGACACGAGTTCAAATTAAAATCGCCTATAACTATAATTTCATTATATAAAACAGATATATTTTCCATTATTTTAAATAACAACATATATTCATTTTTTTTACTAGACGGTGGTATATAGACAACACAACATAGAAACAGAAATCTGTCACGTAGGTACACTTTTACGCAAACGCACTCATAAATCTGATTGTTAATATTTACGTCGTCCGGTGTGGGTACGCTCCGCAGCTCGAACCGTGGTGAGGCCACTAAGGTGGTGAGGATACATACATACACACATACCAGCCAAAATCATAACCCTACTTTTCACTTTGCCGTAGTCGGGTAAAAAATGTACATATTGGAATAAAATAGTGTACAAAAATATTAAGGCAGATTTTTTTTTAATTTTTTAACCAGTAAAGAATGTGCATGATAATAACAGTGATAGATAAGAAACTGAATTTATCTATATGTAACGCATAGGAACGAAGATTTGAGAAGAAGAATGAAGATTTGAAGATGCTCTGAGCTGTATTGGTTTAAAAGTAGGTACCTATATTATAATGCTGTATGTGTTTGTTAAGTATTCCTAAATTAATCGACTTGGTGTACGTTGCTTTCATAATTTTTACGGCAGAAGAATTGCGTTGCGAGATGATATGATAGTTTTTGATAGGATAAATATATTTTGACTTTGAAACGTAGTTTGCCAAATGTTAAGTAAAAAATGATAAAATGATGAAATGATAAAAAATGCTCTGTACTTTTGTATGCTACAATGCGTTAAATAAATTTATTATAATTAAAATAAAATCATTAAAATGAAAGAAATGTTTTTATTTATTTTGCATAGAAAATATTTGCATATTTCCATCATCTTACATATCAAATACATATATTTTTTTCTAATAAATTAATAACAAATGTCGTAATTCAATATTGGTATATCCCGATAAGTCGTATCTAGTTTTCTTATGTTGATTACAATATTTTCTCTATACAATAAGTTAATAATATTAGTTGACAATTAAATTATTAATTTACGAGTACATTTAAATACTACCCTATTCACTATTTATTAGTTGTCCAACAGTTAGCACCTAATTGATGTTTTCTCATTTCTATAGTACATTTCCGTTACTTAGCTTGATTTCAAAGTTCTCTCCTTGAATTTAATACTATCTGCTTTAACTTCCGAACAGCTATTTTCCCCGTCGATGTAATTGGTATTTCATCAAGGAATATGACGCCTCCTCGTAACCTCTTGTTGTCGGAGAGCTTATCTAAAAAAAAATGTAAAGAGTCAACTAACAACCATAAATTTAATCAACTTCTTAACGATTAATAAATAAGGGTCAGTGTATATCTAATTATGTTATAAGTATAAGCTCACTTTATGGGGGTAATTAAGTAAACATTCAAATTAAAGTGCATTTAGAATCTTATATGGTCCAGTTCCAACTATTCAAGTAACATATTATTCTAGTTTGAAGCATTCGAAGAGTTTTCAACATTTTTGCATAGAGTCATAGTGTAAAAAAATCAATCCTACATATAATAACTCACCAGCGATCAAGTCTGCTATCTCTCTTGCGCTGATGTTCGCTCCTTTTTCTTTTACTACGCAAGCTACAGGGTGTTCACCATCTTCGTCGTGCGGTATAGATGTTACCACAACATCGTGGACCGATGGATGCGAACGAATCAGCTCTTCAAGTTCTGCTGGAACCATCTAAGTGAGGGATTTCAAAAGTTAACGAGAAAACGCGCTATGTAATCTCTAGTCAGTCTGACGATTCAGCGTTGAATTTAATGCGACATATCAATCATTATGCTGTACATGTTTAAGTACAAACGTTTTCCATATCAATTTGGGGTATTACTCCCGTAGAACCTTGTACTAGGTTAACCGTTCCTAAGTCACTGTTTAATAATATGAATTTTGACTAGTACGAAGTGCAGTCGCAGTGTAAATTTACTTCAACGCTAAACCTCGATTATTAATAATACTATAAAGGTTTTGTTATTGCATTGAACAAGAAAAAATAAATAATAATAAACTATATCAGATCAATAGAATATACGTTTACAGTTTCGTTAAAATCGTTTCAGAAGAGTATAATAATTAAACTCTAACACGAGAATTTTATATTTTAGATTATAAAGAGCCCACTTCTGATACGCTTAAGAAAGTAAAAATAATACCCATCTATAGCACGGTAACCGAACAGAAAGAATTTTGTACGTTGACCTTTGTGTGTACTGATAATATCGTAAGCATATTAGGTTCACTTCACTTATAATAGGGATAGATAAGTATGAAATTGCCAATGTGTACTGAAAAACAAAATTGTTTTATTGTTTATTTTTAACAAATTTATTTAATCAAAATAGTTACCAATACTATCTATACATTGCTGCCATCTAATAGGAAGGTCATTTATGCTTTGGCGATAGAACTGTGAGGATTTAGACTTCACAACTGTGTGAAAGCATTTTGTACTGCCTTCTGGGATTTGATGATGATTATCTTGTCTCGTAGATAATTGCCCAAATTCCAGAAAAAGAAAAAAATGGTAGTCCGTTGGAGCAAAGTCTGGCAAAAAGGAGGATGACGAATGGTTTCTAACTGCAGTTCCTGAAGGGTCAAAACGGTTTCTCGTGCTCCATGAGGTCTCGCGTTGTCATGGAGCAATAATGGTGAAGATCGATTCATGAGTCGGGGCTGTTTTACTGCTAGTTTTGCCAACATTGTTCGGAGTTCGGCACAATGGATATCTGCCGTTACTGCTTGACCAGATCGGAGAAAACTATAGTGAATTACATCATGCTGATACCACCAAAGAGTTACCATTACCTTTTTATTGGCAAGTTTTGCTTAAGGACACTGTTGTGTTAGACCTGGGGTCAGCCATTGTATTTTTCTTTTACGGTTATCATAAAGTATCCACTATTAATATAATTCGATCCAATGTTCCTTCATTTCTGTACCAATTTAACAAGGCAACACAAGTTTCAACACGCGTTTCTTTCTGCAGATCAGTCAAATCATCAGGCACCCATTTTTCGTATTTTTTCTATTTTATTGATTTGACGCCAATGAGACAATATTGTGGGTAAGGTAACGTTAAATCATGACGCTAATTTCTGGGTAGTTTGACTAAGATCGGCTTCCACCATCTCTCTTATTTCATCGTTATTCATCTGTGTGGGCGGTCTTCCTCGTGGCTTGTTCTTCAAGTCGAAATTTCCATCACGAAAGCGTTTAAACCAAAATGGCACAGTACGTTCATTATCAAACCAAACGCAACATTGATCAGTCGGAACTCGTATTCAAAAATCACTTGAATTTTCGCAGTATTCATCTTTCTTGTCTAACGGTCAGTTGCACAAACGTCCATTAAGGTTTGACACTTTTAAATTCTAATGAATGTCAAACTTGTATGGGTAATATCGCTTTAAACTAATGAAAAATATAATGGACGTTTGTGCAACTGGCTGTATGTTGAATAACAAAAACAATTGAAAGTCTATATTCAAACGTTCATCATAGAAACCATGTGAAAAAAAGTTTCTTTCGAAAACCTCAAACTATGAAGATTTTATGTCAATTCAAGGAACCTATTACAATAAAATGGCAATTTCATACTTTAACCCATAATAACACTATAAAAAGTCAGTTTATATTATTCAAAAAAATTGCGATTTAATTTATATTAACCGCCCAACATGTGAGATTACTGACAATATATATCAGTTAGTTAATACCAGAGGTTAATACTACCACTTTTATGGTGAACTCATTATTATTATAATCTAATTAGTAAGTCGTTAAAACAATAAGGCCGTGTAATAATTTCGCTCTGACACGATTAGAGGCAATACGATAGCAACGCGATTGATACAGCTGATGATTATGGTAACCGTTGTGTTGGGACTCTTTATAATAATTTAATATACATAACAAGATAGAAAATACTAACGTGGTAATTTTTGTATTTGATCAACATTTTTACCCTCTCCACGTAGTAAAAATATCCAGCTTCGTCCTTACAAAATATATCACCGGTTTTATACCAGCCGTCTTCGGTGACAGCCTTTTTTGTCTCCATTGGATTTCTATAATATTCCTAGAATAAACAAATAACTAAAATACCCACTATATTTAGGTCATATGGAAATCTAATAGGATATTATAATGTTATAAATATATCTTGCTTGTGTAAAGGAGCTTCTATATGGACAATATTTATCGGCAATTGGTGACAATCACCAGCAAGCAATGCAACCTTTCGAAACAATATGGCCGAGATATAACTGTAATATTGCACAATCTGGCTGGCCACAAACTGGCGAAAAATTTTACCCGTTTAGAAGCATCTTAATTGCAATTTTTGCAGTAATTAAATTCATACATCGAAAATTTCGTCAATTACAAAGGCTAAAATATGCCTAATTAGATATCTATCTATTAAGTTTAAAATTTTGAATAAGTAGATAAATAGTGATTTTTAATAAAATTCAACTGACTGTAAATCCAGGACCTCTACACCACAACTCGCCTCGTGCCATGGGCTCTATAACTTCTAATCCTGTGTCTGGATCAGTTATCTGAAAAAAAAAACAATCTGATTCATCATCCGCTTCTTAATCATATTCATATCATGACATTAATATAATTACAATAATAAATCGAATAGTAAGCAATGGTTACTATGGTAACGTTTTAATTCTGTATACAAACTTTCTCTCCCATTTTCATCCAGTGGCGTGCACACCATATGTGCAAATAAGCACTGCATACTCTACCCATGAAATCCAACTAAACCTATACAGTGTTATTAATAAACAAGGTTTAGCGTTGGAGTAAATTTACGCTGAGAATGCACTTAGTATTGGTCAAAATTCAGATTATTCAACAGAGATTCAGCAAAGGTTAACCTAGTACGAGGTTCTACGGGAGTAATATTTACACCTAGAAGGTAATATAGGTTTGCTTGTTCTCTGTATAATATGCATTTGGACTAATACTGAGCCTATTCGTTGCAGACAAATAATCAAATTTTTACTCATTATAATATTAGTATAGATAAATACTTTAAACAGTAACATTGCTTTTATATTATTTATTGTACTATACATTCAACACTTTCACTGTCGAAAGACGCTGCGCTCCACGCTGAGTTTTGTACAGGATAGCAATAATATTGACTGCCACATTACACATTATAATTAATTTACATGGAGGCGGATTATCCTTCAGGCAAACTAGGCACATGCCTAGGGGTGCGGCATAATAAAATAATATTATAATTTTCATTTATATCTCCTGATTTCTGGTAAGGAGGTTGGAGTATCGTAAACTCACCTTTAGTTCATAATCAGAAGTAGGCATGACCAAAGCGTCTCGAGGCCCAAACGGATCCGAGTACAAAATCGCACCACCAGTCTCCGTTTGACCATACAGATTTATTATAAAGGATCCTTCAGATAACCTCGACTGAGAACAAAGACAATAAAAAATAATATACCTGTAACACAAAACAGATTATAGAATTAATAAGATTTCGCTAACTAAAACGCCCAATTCCTGCCATATACATTGTAAACACTGATGCGCGAAATGCAACCTTATCACATAAACCAGGACTCTCATACTCGAACCTGTCCTAAAAAGGATAGGCTTAAGCAAGGCCGGCAAACCTGGTAAAACCCGCTGCGAGTACCCTCCAGGGGGGGGAAGAAGCCGGGTACCTGGGTTTTCAATATACAGTGGATCGTCCCTGGGGCTAGTCCCACAGGGGGTCGTTATACCTGTCCGCCGGACCACAGGAGGGGATGCGCTAATACGCAATTCTCTCCCCCTTACAGAATACTGCCCGGGTCTCCTAGGGCTAGCCCCATGGCCGTTCCCTTGGGCGCCCCTCGCAGTGCTTTCCTGCCCGCGGCCTACAGGCCCCCGACGACCCCGTGCCGCTTGTGCTCATTTTGTCAACACGCCGCCACCAACGTAGCGAACCGCAACCCTATCCGCGCACCGGCGCTCAGATGCCTCACGCACCTCGTAAACATAAACGCAATACAGTAGAGGCACTGGCATACGCACTCCCCTATTCCGGTGGCACGTTTCCATGCAACCAAAGCATACAACGAATTAAGTATTAAGCATGCCACAAACGGATTGAGTATTAAGTATGCCTCAATGATCCTCTGAAAATACCTAGGTAACTGATAGTATTTCAGCGCATTGGTGATGCAGCGGCATGGAAGGAAGTTGAAGATATTCTTAATATCAGGAGATACCGCCACCACCCTCTCCCCTCTGTTCATCGCTATTTCTGTTACCTTTTTTTGCTCCTATTTCTGCGGAATCCGAATTGACTCACCGAGAGATTAGGATTACCGTGTCGAGGTGAAAGCTTCTGCGTGGTAGACGTCAGCGGAGTCCTCTGGAGAGAGTCGAAATCGTATGTATCAATGATCCGACAACGATTCATTTGAGTGGACCTTCCATTCCTTTATGCGTGGAACCAGTGCAGAGGTTGTGAACAAGATCCACAATGGACCCCCTGCTGCCTCACGCATGTGAACGTTGTGCCGTGGCTTGCTACCACAAGGTAGAGTGCAGTGCCTACTCAAGTATCCTCCACTCATCCTCCATTTCAGTCACTGGGGAACCCCACGCCGGGTCCTTAGCGTGAAACTGCCCCAGGATTATCTTCTTCTTCTCTTCTCTTTATTTTGGCACAAACACTCATTAAACACCGTTTCAATGTTAAAGATATTACACTATATTGTAGACAATCAGTACCTTTAACTATTTAATATAAAATAACGACGTGGGTAACTAAGTAAATAACAGCTTGTAAACATTTATAGTATTACAAAATCCCAATAGCTTATGTGAAGCATAATTATATATATATAGGATAAATAAAATAAAAAGTTGATTATTGTTGTAATATATTAAAGAATTTAAACTTATGCGAGTTGAGGTATTACAAAACAGGTTAATATTGAAATATTAGCTTTTAGAGCTGGGCAGACAATTTTACTGTACAACAATTTGAAAAAAAAAAATACTAAATCAGACTCCTTTCGACGATTCTCTAACGAATGCAAATTATAGCTTTTTCGTGACTCCTTGTACTCGTTATTTGCACAGTTATTACGAAAATTAAGTAACTTTATAAATTTAAGTTAAAGCTTTTCTGGGCGGGCTATATATTTTTTATATGATTTAAGTTAATTTTTCATGTATTTTTTAAAATTCGTTTTTACGCAGTCGGGTTTTTTGTTTTTCTTAAAATTGTTTATTTTTATTTTATACTTTTTAGTTACCATTCGTTGACTTCGTTATAAGATGGTAAATTATGCAATTTAGTCATTTCATTGAGGGAGTTAAATAGTGGGGGAGTCAATTACTAAGTAACTTGCGGTGGTCTAAACTACTGATGATTAGTCCCTCTAGAGACCTAACTCAGCTCAAAGCTACATATGCTTTATTTTTTACCAAATATATTTGTTCTTCATGCTTTTTCACTGTTTTTTTTTTTGTTTATATATCGTTTATACTTTAAATAAAAACTGAAATCAATAAGTAAGATAATTAGCGAGAATGGTTTTGTTAAACAACTTTAAATCGTTATATATCCTTAACTATTATTTAAAATGAAAAATGATAAAAGTAACCTAAACATGATTTTAAAATACCTATTCAACGACACCCCGTTTTTTTTTTATTTTGACAATATGGCGTCTGGTTGTCGCTGTAGTGAATTTTGTCACTGTCATGTCTTTAGTGACACTCGCAAGGTTAAGACGAATCGATTGACGTAAGAATCATCAAAATCGACCTACGCATTTGGTCTCTAGAACGCCACATAGAAACAAACATACATACATAGACTGATAATAAACACATTACCCTCCTTTGCGTCTCGCAGTCAGGTAAAAAGTGATTTAAAACACTAGTTTAAATAAATTAAATGACAATTTAATGAAACGTGCACGTTTATGTCTGGACAGACGTGGACTTCATTTTTAACAAATATTAAAAAACGGTGATTAGTACATGGTAAGCAATTATTTAAACGAGCAATTAGTTAGGTATTATTTTTGATTCAACATTATTTTAAATACGTTGTTGATTCAAATTTTTTAAATACGCCTTAACGCAGAAGTACCTATAACTATGAAGAGTAATATAACTAAGAAGTAGTATAACATCGGCATAACATTAATATTTTGTTCTAGGTAACTAATTTCTTTCTCTTCCATTCGTCTTCCTTCCATTTCCATAAAAGTATGAAGTGAAAATTGAAAACATCACCTCAGATCATGGCATACATTTTAGTTCGAATCTAACAAAATGAGCGGTCAGTGACCCATGTAGATATCTACATACCTAATTTATATCTACGCCGTCGAGCGCGCGCTCAGTTGACGCACGGCGCGCGGTGTCCATAAATTTCTTTGGTAAGCGATAACTTTATTTTTTAGTAATAGAACGTATCAAAAAAAAAATATTTGTTTGTTAAAATCACTTAAAGCATATTCTCACAAAGGTTCTCAGTGGTTTTAAATTATTCCTGTATATATCATTTCACTTCGAACCCTGATTTTTAACATACTACTTACACACATTTCGTCGTACACTTCACTTCGTAGTTTCGCTCCGGATACCTGGATGATTTGGAAGCAGCTGAAGTCACAATGTTTTCTGTGTTTCAAAAGAGTCGATACAGTTGTAGGACCAGTCAGTAGAGAAACCGGCTGAAAGACAGATCATAAAACGTTACTGCAAATCAATAAATTTACTTTTTCAATCAAAATATGGAATGAGATCCAACTTAAATATCAGCAAGTCGATTTTGCTAATGTTTATGTAATAACCGCATCTCAATAGCATCTCAACGACTTGCATCTTATCATTGTTTTACTACCTAAAGTCTTATTGGTGCAATGTCTTTCTAACACACAACAGGTGACAGATATATAATATGTAATATGAGAGTTCAATAAGTTAGTTCAATGGCAGAATGAAAGCAGTTGAGATTAAAACTATAATCATTAGCGGAATTGTTTAAACCATTACCCGACCAAATTAAGTCAATGCGTCTCAATTTGCTTTATGCGGCCAATCTTTGCTTTATGCGGCCAATCAAAAGAAATACTATATAACTTTAGTCCTTGTTCAATAAGACGGTTTATTGGCGGTTATAAGCCAATATTTAAATCCAATCTGCGTGTGCGACTGCGATGTGGAGTTTAAGCAACTTTTGTAAAGGCCAGTCATACGATGCGTGACCAAAAATTTACTATCTTATGCTCTTCTGGGCTTCTGAAGTCATAATTAGCCGGCTGCATCAGTCGTTAACACTCACCAATCCGCGTTTGGCACACCTGGGCAATGGCCTGTTCTCCCTATTCGATTCATTTCCATCCATATCGAAGATCTGCACTTCAGCAGGGGGAATATTAATAGACTGGTGATGATGATGACATTAGTTATTTATATTTAAGAGTAAAGGAACATAAATAAACTTAGTCTATCAATGAGATATACAAGACAGAGGAGCAATTATTTATAAAATACCTACAAGGTCTTTACCTAAGTCTGGGTTGTAAAGTGACTCAATTAAACTAATAATCCCCTGGATTAACCGTAAAATAGTTATTATTCAATGTTATACAAAATATAATCAACACTTAACCTTGTACTGGTTAATGATGTCGGCATAATGATCCGCGTTTGCTGGCCCAGACGTTTGTACCTTACAGTGACCCATAAGTGGCAGAGCTAATGCGTTGATTAATCCAGTCAGCCAATGTATAGGGCCCACGTTAAAAGTATTCACGCCACGTTTGGTTCTGAAGACAAAGATTATTTTGTAAAAATTGAACATTCTTTTATCATTTTTACGCATGAAAAGCTTCATTTCTACGAATTTACGCATAGTAAAGCTTCGTTTCTTGTCGGTACTTCTTAGTATGAGGTCTCCCGCCGTAGATTTGTGAACTGATGGCGTAGTTTTTGACATTCACAAGTGCTTGTAACAGCCTAGACTGAATAAATGTGTATTGAATTTGAATTCGATTTTGACGGAGCTAGCGTCTCAAATGTGATCTACAACAATTACGTATTTATTGTTTCACAGCGATCTCTATTATTTTTGGCGATTTATGTTCCGTCCCTCCCATTTGTAAGAAAAAATAAGAATCGATCGAACTAGGCACATGCCTAGAAGAGCTGACATTATGTTTTTTATTAATGATCAACTTCGTCACGTACCTGACAACACGCCCCGCGATCATACGTGAAGACCAAATAAAAAGTATAGACGGAGTTTCTGCCTAACAGAAAAGTGAAGCCGACAAAACTACGCCTCGGCGTATTCGTACACAGTTTCACGCACACATACATAACGAAACTACGCCTTCCTTATCAGTCTAACTAAAGACAGTGTGCGGAACGTTTCATTATAAAAAAAATCAAAAATTTCTTACTAACTGCCGAATTGTGTAGTAAAAGGTTGTAAAAACCAATCCTCCAAAAATAAAAGGCAGGATGGAATCACATTTCACACATAAGTATTGGAGAAAACTTACATTTTCAGTAATTTAAAAATTAAATTTCGGTAACTGCTTGGAACACGAAACCTCAGCCAAATATTACCATCGTTAAATGTTATTATTTACCCCGAAATCAGGTAACTTTAATTTTATAACGCGTTATTTCTAACATAACCCAAATTACGTTATGTATTTTTTCTTGTTGTATGGAAATGATTTTTAATAAATTTTGCATTCAAAATGCTACATAGAGGTCCAGATCACAGATATTGAAGTGTTAGTATAAGGAAGTAAAAAATAAAAAAACGGGTTTAATTTTTTACTTCTTTATTTTTACGAAACGGGTTTGCATACATTTTTTTCATTTCCAAACCGACATCAAAATGTGAAAGAGAAGTGGATTTCAGTAATTCGTAATAGTCGAAATGAACCTTCATGGAATCCAACGTAGTTTGTTCGACTCATTTTAAGAGCGATGATATGTACCTATTATACTATAAAAGTGTTACGTCGAATAAAGCAAAACTCATATCCAAAGGTTTCAAACTTTCTGTATATGAAAATTTTAGTTAACATAGTGGAAGTTAACTTAAAACTTAACTTAAAAATTAATTAAATAGTCTCCCTAATGTATGACCTCCAATAATAATTACCTACTCTTAAAGATTTTAGAATATCTATGCTGATATTGACAAACGAATTTACATTATATGATTAAATAGCATAGCGTTAACGTTAACTCTATAACGTCGTAACGTTAAGTTATTGGGGTGTTTTTAATGATGATGGTCACACTGGCACGCACACTACAATTGCTAAAAAACGGCTTCACTTTGTTATTCAGCAAACTCCGTCTTTACTTTTTATTTGGTACTGAATTGTAAGTCGCAGAATTTGAAAAGCAAAAGAAGCTTATTTTCTGCTGTAGGACTATAGGTACTATATTAAACTTTAAGTGCATTTTGATTCAATTCGATATCAAGCAAATCGATGAAAGGTAAGCGATAGATCCGCCGCAAATATTTGATTAGAGCGCGCTACCATAGATCTTATCTACCACAGTGTAGACATACTCACAATCGTGGTTCATGTGTTAATTTGAGAAGAGCTTGGTAGGATGATTTGAATTTAGCTATAATTGGTGCTTGTTTGAGGGCCGCCACTTTCGCATTGCCCGTCGTTCCACTGGTGGTTGCCAGCCACAAGTATATTTTATCCACGTCAAATTCGGCAACTCTGGAAAGAATAAAGGAGATATTGATAGAAAACTAAGTGCCTATCCTAAAAAATACTAAGTGCTAATCTTATGTGTACGTCCCTTTGATATAAGATTTACCGAATCCCATAAGTGTTTTAGTGTTTTCCTTTGATTCAAAGGCTTTGAATTCATATCATATCGAGCAGATTAAAAATAGACATAAAATATTAATAAAGTAACAAACACTTAACTTTAATAACAAACATTTTAATACTTATCTCAAGAACGACTTACTCAAGAAAATACTATTGAAGTCGAGCGGAGGTTTTCTGTAGGTTATTAAATTAATAAGTACCCGACTTCAATAGCATTTTTTGAATAAGTCGCTTTTGAGATAAGTAATATTTATGTCCAGCCCCCATACATTTTTCGCCTAAGAACCTCTAAGCATGTACTATCACTTTTCGTGTTCTAAAGTATCTATATTTACGTCTAAATACATGTTTAAGTAACGGACACTTCTAAGAAATGTATAAATCAAAAAATATATTTTGGATTTGAGGTTATAATTTTAACAATTGTAGCGTGCGGTTAGATTCTTTTTAATGTTTGTTTTACTTGCTTTTTGTAGGGAAATGTATGTCTACTTTGCTTTAAATGTTGATTGTTGTTGTTTGCTTTAAAAGGTTCTGTAGGTTCTGTATCGGGAGCATGTACTTACCAATCTTGGAGCAACCCAGTGTTGTATACACTGAAGGATCTGCTCATCTTCTAATACCATGCAACCAGAAGCTGAACCGCAATTAACACAAAATACTTCAACACACCCAGATTCCATGTTAATGTCCGTTAAATAAATGCCAAGTCGTCGTCTATAGTAGGTCGGTATGCCGTAAATCACTGCCGGAGGTCGATATTATAAGACGAAATCAGTCCTTAGTTCAAGCCAAGTCGTTATTTTATAACTAATATTCACAAGACACAAGAAATCGTACAAACAAACTCAAGCGACGTAAACACAACGCGAGTATGAAAGCGATTGTCAAACAAAACTTCAAAAGTTCAAAATTGTCAAACGTATGTAAAAGAGCGCTTCCAGCCGCTTAAAAATCTACGAACGTTTTGAGTCTCGTTTTAATGTCAAGCGCTTTAAGTGTTCATTGGTTGATTATACATCAAATTGTGCATAGATCCTGATTTGTCAACTTATTAAAATATGGTGGCAGCGTTTATTGAAGTTTATCAAATGTATTGATATTACTTTTTAAAGTAATTACAAAAATGGGCAGTGTCCGTTTGATTTTAAAAGCTGATATATTAATCATAAAATATGATAAGAATTATGATATACAAGATATTCTTAGAGGTTCATAGGCTAATTTGGAATGTTTTTTAAGTGATGTTAATAGTTTTTATTATATAGGTAACACTCAAAATATTAAATATCTATATAAATAAAAATATTATACATAGTGTAAGTCTTAGAATAGGAGATTTTGATTTTTTCCTCGACAGATTTTTTGATAATATATATTCATATTTTAAAGAGGAAAGTATTGATTGCTTGTTTGTTTGGATAGGATAGGCCCCGAAACTATTGCACCGATTTATAAGTCTTTAATCTACGAAAAGCTAGATAATACGTAATATTATATTTCTCTATGGATAATTCGCGGCGGACATGCGTTACAATCTGTGGTTACAATTTACGCAGGTGAAGTCCCCGCGACTTCGTCTGCGTAAACTCTTCCAATTTTGAATTAATTCTAAATATGCAATATTTTGTTTTGTTATAAAAGGAAAACTACTTATTCGATTTCGATTAAATTTAAATGGGACATCCTCGTCCATCAATCTATCGAATAAAAAAATTTGGAAAACGGTCAACAATTGACGAAAATATCAGTGAATATACATAAAAAAAACATACAACAAAACGAAATTTAGCGTTCTCCTTAGGTACACCGGTGTGCGATATCAGTTACATCTTATTATAATTATTATTTATTATGGCCTCGTTCCATTATACACAGGAATTCCGCCAACATCCGGTAGTGAGAAGACAGGAGACTCGAGAGACTGAACGGCAGTTACAATTAATCAGTTCTTCCTTGAGATTGTTCTTTCTTTACTAAAAAAAGGACAACAACTACAATTATTTACTTACCGAAATTCTTCTATCGATTGATCATCGCATTTAGACATAAATTCATTCATACTGTTTGTTCCATCTCCGAATCTAATTACTGTCGTTTCTAAATTCAAATCAGTGACAACCTTCTTAAACATTTCATAGGCATTCCTGTCACAAAACGCTACTTTTGGCAAGATCACATTAAAAATATTTTTTACTTCATCTGAAACATTCGAAAGATGCATAACTATTAATCAAGAATTAAAGAAAACTCGATACAAGACCGTCAATTCATATCTTTAATAATATTATATATATAATAATCATGCGGACTGTGCATTGCAATAATTGTGAAACAATGATATCTACCAACTTCCACGATGAAGAAAAGAAAAGCCTAACACCACAATAAATGGCACAGAATGCAGGAGACATTTACTCGGTAGTGGGTCAATGTGGGTTGAAGAACAAGAAGAAGAAATTCATATGGACAACAGCCCGCTCGCAAATGCACATACCAACTACAACTGTAAGGTCTAACAACTCCCTCAGGAGTTACTCTTTTTGTTCACGAAAGAAATTTGCTATTATTTAAAATTTCCATAACACAAGGAATTTACGTTTTAATTTGGCATCCCAGCAATGTACTTATTTGATGTTGTCTTATATTTATTGTCAAATTGTGAAAATCTTACCATACTTAAACGAATTATCCACTCCACAAATAGGGAGACCATTAAATAAAGCCGCATAGTATGGTATATGTAAGTCCAAATGATTCTTCCCATTTATAGCCAAGACGTTCCCTGGTTGAGCACCGAGCTTTCTGAGGCACGTAGCTAATCGTACGGAGCGGGATAGCACAGATGCATTTGTTTCTTTCTCTCCTGTAACTGCATCGATCTAGGAATCATAATAAAAGTAGTGAAACGCGGAACACCTAGTTCTCAATTTTGCTAATGTTAACATTACAATGGCACTTCAATTAATGCCGGCTCGATGTATCAAAAATGACTCTTTGTTATTTTGTGATGTGTGAATTAAAACGCTATGAACATACGTTAACTTTTATAGAATTCAGTCCCATCGGTCCGGATATCCAAAATATAGACCAAGCGTCCGGGCGAAAATGAGGCCTAATAAACTTTGGCGACGACTATGGTGGTCTCTCTGACTCATTGTGATTTATAAAGTTTTTATACACTATATTCTTTTGTTTTATTTTGTGATGTATAGTAAAGAACTGTGACATAAAGTTGCCATCGAAATGCTTGTTAAATGCTAAGATAATAGGATAAGCATAAGCTTTATAGTATTTTATGATTAGTTATATTAATTTGAATGTTGCAAAATTTTATTTCTATTATATCTATATCATGGTATCTGATAATAACAATCCATACCAACTAAATGCGAAAGTAATTATGTCTATGTATGTGTTCGTAACGTGTTTACAACGAAGAAAATACACTTGCTATTACTTGCCAAATAACAGAGAAAACGCCAAACTAAATTTCTCTGTTATCTGGCAAGTAATAGGAAGTGTATGTTTATTATACTATTTGTTGCTGTCGCAGAGGGAGAGGCTTGGGTACATCGAGAGCCTCTCCTAGACAGGAGAGACCGTGTAATGCATGAGTTGGTTAGCAGACAAACCATCTATGCTGGCGCCGGCTAAATTGTCACGCCAAATTGACACTATACACATAAATAGGTCTCGTAAACTATACCCAAACAATAACAAGGTAATACGTGGTAAGTACTGTGGTAAGTAGAGCTATAATGATACTTTTTTTTGTTTATTTGAATCAACAAACAGTTTTACTGTAAAACTGTTTATTGATTCAAATAAACAAAAAAAAAATAAACAAATAATCAAATAAACTTTTTTTTTTCACTACAGTGATGTGTGTTTTGAGTCACTACAGTTGATTCAAATAAACAAAAAAAAAAACAAGTAATCAAATAAACAAAAAAAAAGTATCATTATAGCTCTAGACATTATATTATAAAAGTATAATATAATGTCTAAAGCTTATCTAATCCATTTTAGTTCTATTGTGTGTTTAGTAAAACAGATTATGAAATCAATTAAGTTATGATGCCTTTCTTAAACTTCTGTTCGTATTAATAAACTAAAGTACTTAAAATATTATTTCCCAAAAGAATAATTTCTTATGGTCCTGAACCAATTTTTATGAAATTTGGTACACACAAAAAATGGATCTTGAAAAGCACTCGAATATTTTTAGGACGATAAATTATAACTGGACCCTGTTCTGTAAAATGGTTTCAAGTGACATAAAATCGAAAATTGAGTTATTGGTACCGTTGGATTCGTATTGAAAATCTCTATCGGACTCTTTAGGATCCAACTATGGAAAAATAATGTGCTCTGAGATATTTAAATAAATAAGGTTATGCAAAACTCAATGAGGCTCATTTCGAGATTTGCAAAAAGAACTCACGTTACTTGACCCCATTTGGCGAAATAATTTATCACCTATATTTGTTTCGTCAAAAGGTATCAAGTGTATTTTGACACCTTAATGCCGATAACTTTACCTAAAATGTTAAGGAAAGCATTCGCAACCTATTGAATTACTAAAAGTAAATACTAGTCCTAGTATGTTGATTCATCATGAAAGTAGCTTGCAGACAACCCCGTTACTTTCAAAAGAAGATTGTGAAAATTACATTATAAACTGTGGTGTGGAGGTTACAGCTTTAGCAAAAAGTAGAAATTCGATTGAAAACCAACCAATTTATATGCTGTCTCAAGAATATATTTCTAATAGTACTTCTGATTGCGCTAAGGAAGTTGTGCCGAATCCCATAATTATTCATGCTAAAGCAGATCAAGAGTGTACGCAGGAATTTTCTGCACATCTTCCGTTAGACCAAGATTCCTTTTCAATATTAGACCCCAAATTCCAGGAATGTATCGTATTAAATAACCCGGGAGATGGTCAAGTCGTCTTTCCATTAAATTTACCTGTTATAAATACAGAGTCTGAAACCTTTTGTGAAGGTTCTATCATAGTGCAAAATGATTCTACTATTCCTATTCAGAATAATAATTCTATAATATTGACTTCCACCGGAAATGAAATTCATAAAGTAATTGACCAATCCAACATTTCATTATCACAGGCCGACTTAGAATGTACTCTACAGTTTGATCAATCCAGGTGTAGTCATATTTTTTCTGGGTTGTCGTCCAATATTTCAAATATAGTAATAGAACTAGTAGAAGGCCACATGGTTGAAGTCTTCGAAAAGAAAACAGTTTATAAAAATTCTGAAAATAATAACGAAACTATTAGCACCGATAATAACACGAAAAGCAACTTATCCGTTATGAATGTTACAATTGACCAATATTACTTACCAGTTCCTTCTTCTAGTGAAAATACAATTATAGAGCCCGGACAAATCAATAATAAGGAAGGACGACCAAGAAGAGGTAGAAAAAGGAAGTATCCACAACAAAATAGAAAAGAAAAGAGAGCAAAACTAAACCACGGTAAATAATACATAAATTACAAAGGATTAACAGTGCCGTCAAAGACTTTCGTTAATGGTTATAACTGTAGTTGTAAAAAAAAATATACAGAAAAAGTTACAGTGATTGAAAGAAAGACAGTATTTGAGAATTATTGGGCAGCTGGTAGTTATGAAGCACGTTGTGCATTGTTACAAAGTTTTTGCAAATAATTAGAAAAATCTCGAAATAAATCAAATAAAAGGACATTTACTAGAAAATATTATCTCAAAGGAGTCTCAGTTTGTAAGGCAGCTTTTTTAAAGACATTATCCATAAGCCAAAACCCTTAGACATTGCTCTAGCTAAGCATAGACAACAGAAGCCGCTGTTGGATAAGAGAGGATGCACTGGTCATAATAAAATCACAGAGGCTAAAAGTCAGGAAGTGATCAATTTATAAAGAGTTTACCAAAATACAAATCTCATTACTGCCGCGAAAAAACTAATTCGAAAAATTTGACTCCAAATTTAAATCTTAATTTTATATATGAGTTGTACAAAGAAAAATACCCAGAAGGCGTATGTAAATCAACGTTTAAAAATATATTTCACAAAAAGTTTAATTTAAGGTTTAAGAAACCTCAGAAAGATACCTGCAATAAATGTGATATTTTTAATGTTCAGAAGAAAAATTTGACTGGTCCAGAATTGGAAAAAGTGGAAAATGAGCATCGATTCCACTTAGATAAAGCGAAATCTCTTAGACAACAAATGAAAAAGGACATGAAAGTTGCCACTATAGACAACACAATTGAAACTCTTACGTTTGATCTCGAATAAACCAATTGTGTACCTAGACTACCGACGAATATTATTTATTATAAAATACAACTGAATCTCTACAACTTTGGAATTCACCAGGCGAGTAATAATCAAGGCTATTTTAATATTTGGTTGGAACATGAGGGGGGAAGAGGAATCCAAGAAGTCCAACTTCGAACGTCCGACAGCTTCGTTGTTGGACGTTGGACTTAGAAGTCCAACGTCCAACAACGAAGAATTGAAAATGAAACCGAAGAATAATAAGTATTTGACTGATAAAAAAGACTAGGTAAATGTTACCTAGTTATAAGTTACCTACCTAATTACTTTAAAAGAAAATTATTACTAATGAGAATAAAAGACTAAATTTGTTACTATTGTGAGATAAGACTATTAAAAAAAAATCTTAGTAAGGTAATTTAAAAATAAAGTCTAAATATCTAATATTTATAAGACATGATTATGTTTACAATAAATATTAGTGCCTAAGTAAAACAATACTTAGTACCTACTTTGTTATCTCAAGACTGATTAATATCTAAATAAATGGAACTAAAATAATAATATTTTCGTTTTTTTTATCCTTTATATACTCATTGTTTATTTTATAATTAAATTTGTTAAAAGATTTCAAGTACACTTGATGCTGTTTAGATGCAAGTTATTAATCATAGCGAGTATAAGCAGAAAGGTGTTGAACGTATTTTATTATTTTCTAGTAAAATGGGATACTATAGCAGAAAATTATCATCATTTATATAAAAATAGATAAGCCTTCTAGTTATATGCAAAATTTCAATTCAAACGTTTATTTATACACAAAGTTATACCAAAATAAAAATTGGGCGGTTACAAAATCTTTGATGCCTAATATCTCAAAATGACGTTTATGTCAGTTGAAACCTTTCTGCTTAACAGGGTCCAACTAGTAAATCTATGCAGAAAAAATAACCAACTGACATGATAGACATAGATGGGCGGCTGACATCGTCTAAGTGGCAATTATCACCATGCTCCATGACTTCAATTAATTCATTATGAATCATAAACATTCTGTATACAGTCTCTTGACTGTACATACAGAATGTTTATGATGCATGTCAGGTTATACAAATCTATAAAATTTCTTCACTTGATTTTAAACCCTATGCATTGAGAGTAAACTAAATCCACTGGAGAAAATTGACATCGTGGCAGCCTGGCGTGCAGCCGTGTATATTTACTGGAGTCATTATTGCTGTAGTGTTTGCTGAAGTATAATAATGTTATAAGTCAATAATAGCGTGAGAATCTGTAACATAAATTAATAATTATACTTAGAAATCTTTAACATAAATATTGGTTGTTTAATTAATGAAAATAATATATTATCTCAGAAAAATATTTTTGCTTCAGAGACTAACTTTTTACCTGCTACATCTTACCTGTAGCTTCTGAATGCTTTCTTATTTTTCTTTTCGTGCCACAAAATAACATAAAACATTGGAAGAAAATAAACTATGAATTACATAGAACCAATCTAATTCTGTACTAATATTTATCTTCGGTAACACTTATCCGGTAATGAAATTTTTTTCACCTACGGGAATCTACATTATACGCGGCAACGCGGATGACGACTGGTATAATTTACGTTGGCGAAATCGCGGGAAATAAGCTAGTACATATATAATAATATGTCGCTATTGCTTTTCTTAAAGGTACAACTAATTAGTACTAAGCCATCCTTGAACGCAATTTTTGTCCTGTCTTTCCGCACTTAGACACTAGTGTAAGCCACCAACTTCTACCCTTTTACCACAACTTAGACGTTTAAGCAGAGTTTATTTTTTCATTAGAGTGCAATTATACCTACGTAGTTTTCTATAATGATTTGATTCGGAGATCCACCTATTTGATTGATTTGGAGAATCTATTTTATTAACCGACTTCAAAAAAGGACGATGTTCTCAATTCGACTATATTTTTTTTGTATGTTTGTTACACTATTATTCCGCTAATTTCCTGACTTACTTATGTAAGCGACCAACTACCATCATAGCCTACCTACAGCTTCAGTAAAATAAAACCATTATTAGATATTTAAGGTATGTTTAATTAATTTAAGCAATCGGTGAATCTGAAGACGTTTGGTTTTACTATACATGAGCCAACTTTCACAAAATAACGTCACGCGGGTGTTATTTAGAAAAGGTTCCAGTGAATTATCAATTTAAGGGACTTTATTACAATATTTTTATTGTATACATTAAAGAGAAATGTTACTTTTTCAAAAATATTGTTTATCTAATTGTAAATTAACCTCCTATGAGAATGAATGTTTTTAAACCTAGATCCATTATTCTCTTTTATCTTCATAGTCCGATTGTAAATAAATAAATAATCAAAAGTTAATAATATCTTCATTGATTATTTTCAATCATCTAAAATCAGTTTTTAAAATATAAAAAGTTCTATCGACATAACGGATTATATAGTAAGTGTCACAGCTCTAGTGACAGCTGTCACAGAGATCAAGCTATATTTTAAGAACTATATCTTAAGCTACCGCCTTTCGGAAGTTAAGCATTAGGCCAGCTTGGAGTGTCATGACCCATCCTCCTTAACCACCCATAAGGAAGACCTGAGTCACTACAGCGGGGACGTAAAAGGGCTGATGATAAGGCACATAAACAGAAGCCCCGAAATTTATTTATGAACAACTAAATATTAGTAATAGTAATGCCTTCATCTATGCAACTAATGTCTTTAACTGCATTTTAGTACACACGTATAGTATGTATGTATATAATAATGAAATAGGTATACTTATAATGTTTTTCCTCCTACACAGTATATATGTACACGATCCACTACCCCATTATTATAAGCTCATTTATGATTTGACTCCATCCCAAGGTTATCTGGAAGAGATCACTTTTAGTGATAAGGCCACCATTTGTACGTCTCCTTTCTACAATAGAAATTGTAAGTGTTATGTGTGTGTACAATAAAGTATTCTATTCTATTCTAACATCTACAACCAGCAGACAAGATTCCAGATATGACCATCGACATGTTTATAACTCCTATTGATCTAAGTCATAAGTCAAGAAACAAAAAAACCGAGACCTACAAATGTGTAAGAGAAGTTCCTGCACAATAACGTAAAGCCTTAATAATCAAAAGATTAATGCCCGTTTTCACTAAACTTAGGAGTTGCCCAAATCTGTCACCTAAATCTGTAGGACCGCCTAAGGTAAAAATGCATTTCACCATTAACTAGGAACCACCTAACGAAATTAAGTAATGTCTAAAGGTATTCGTTATGCGGCACCTTGTGCTAAGCATTTGCGTCATAAATATGTCGAGGGATAAAAAATATTTGAAATTAAACTAATCTGTTTTGGCGATTCGTAATATTGGGCATTTCCTAGTTAAACTATGCCTTGTTCTAGGTTAGTGAAAATGGGCGTGAGTATTTGTATATTGGTCGTCGAATCCTATGAGAGAATTCACTTTTGTTACAAATAGTATCTTGTTACAAAAGTGAAATCTTTCTTGAAGACGAAGAAGAAAAGTGAAGATTTTCGACACGCAGGGAAACATGCCGGAAAGAGGTCAATAAATGCGATAATTGTCCTGAAATGGGGCACACACTAAAGGAACACGCGAGAAAGGCTAATCCACCAAAATGTGCTTCTTGCTTTCATTTCTAAAAGTTATTTTTGATTGGCGTTATTTTATTTTGTAATGAACTGAATGAACTTATAATAATTTGAAAAACAATTTCTAAAATGATCGTGAGTAACCAGAGCAGGCTTAATGAAACTTGGTGCCCTAGGCAAAACACGGGAACTCGGCGCCCCAGAGCAAAAACTGGAACTTGGAGCCCTATTTTAAACACTAGAACGACGCTCACATCAAACATGTGATAACAAAACTAGTCTAGGTGCCTACATCGATTAAAAAATATAATTTTGCCAGTGACAAAAGAAACTCCTTACCTACCTACTTGTCAGATTTTTTTTAAATTTAGAATACCGCGGACATACTCATTTTCATAAATTTTTATTAACCGTAAAAAACTAATTATTAATGTAAATAAAGTAGTTATATAATTATTCTACTTAATCATTCTTGTAAAAAATAACAAAAGGTAAGTAAGTATATAGCGTAATTACGTGATCCATAATAAATCATCGATTATCATGAAATTTGGTACCACAGAAGATTTACATACGTTCTACTCGTATTGACTGTCCTAGTATTTAAACAGAAATATCGCGTGTAGTCACGGCGATCTAAAAGATTTAATGTGCATTCGTAATTTAAGTTTTATTGTTCATAGTTTAAATATATTTTTAGGGTTCCATACCCATAGGGTAAAACGGGACCCTAAAAAGACAGTTGGAATTTTACAGATGATGTAAACAGGCAGACAGATGATGACTTAAAACAGAATAAAATAAAGTAAAAAGGGAATCCTATTAGTAACACTTCACTGTTGTATTTCACTTGCCGCTACAACAACAAATACTAAAAACCGGAATAAAAAAAATCACAGCACAATCATAAATTTCCCTTAAAAGAAACCCATTTGCAGAATGCGACATTTGTGCAAAGCAACAATGTCGCAAACAAAGTATACGGTGTCATACCGCTCATCTTACGCTGCGTCCTACTTGAGGCGCCTGCGTCGTTATCGTTTATAGTTTATTTCCGTTATTTCTTTAATGTCGCCCGGATTACGATAGATCATGGGTTCTTAAATGTAAATGGGTAAAGTGGATTTTTTAGGCATTGTGAATGCAGAATTGATTAAACATAATTAATATTTAATCAATTATATAGTATTCTGAATTTGTGTACCGAAAATAATTATAAAAATTATAATTCTGTGTTTAATAAACCTCTTATACATTTGATTGATAAGAACTTTCGGTCCGTCTGTCTAGAATGTAATTTTTATACACAATTCAGACTATAGCGTGACATTAACATTAGATATACCTAAAGATTATAGATAGATAAGATAA